AAACACATTTCATTACACCAAATACACAAAATAATGTTCTTTTTAGCAACATCATATGAGCCCTTTAACAGGATATAGTGGTTTCATAAAGCTGTGGATCTTTAAACAACAATTCAGACAGTTTACCAACTGACAGAAGCACAAACACGAAATCAGACAGCGTAGCAGAAAGAAGCTCATTGACAAGCCTACAAAATACTGCCTGCTCACACACGCATACGCAAACACAGAAAAAATACAGACAAGATGACGTGACCTTTGACAGATATACATACAATAAAAGCCTGAGAATGTGCCACTCACTCTTTGATTTTCTGGGTGAGAGGTTGGATTGTCTCTGCAATGCAGTGAGGGGTGCTGTAGTTCTCACCCTCCTTCTTTAGATAGTCATAGTCCAGCAGTGCCCAGTCTCTCAGAGTGAGAGGAACCTTTGTGCCATCACCATATACTGTCACCTAAAAACCACAAACACAACTGTTCATGCTTTTCTGAACTGTAATCTATTCACGTGACAGTAAAATAAAGCACTATGAGAGCTATGTTGCTATTCTTTACCTCTGTATCTAGTTCTCTGAAATGGCTTTTAATTTGCTAAACTTAGTAGTTTCACATGCTTAGTTCCTTCATAGTGAATTTTGGTTTCCACAAACCAGAAGCCACATGCTTTTCAAAACCAAAAGAAGAATGGGAAATGCTCAGTCATCACAGCTTGTCATCACAAGTATGGCTTCACAAGTATGTAGTCCTTCCTCATTTATGTGATTCATACATTGTATGATTTATAGGGAACATTCAGCCTGGTTCCGTGTCGCCAAATCTACCAGCATAAACTCTGGACCACAGAGCTGCTTATTCTGACAAAGAATAACCCACTTAGACAGGAAGAGACCACCTGACCGGCTTGTAAAATGACCAACCACAGTTTTTAGTGTTGTTTAGCCACTAACCTATTCAAAATATATTATACCGGGTGTATTCAAACTTTTTGAAGCTACCCTACATATAATATAAAAGCAGCTCTATATTTTCATGTTTAAAGACATTTACAACAAGTGAGAAACAGCATGCATATTATAAAGACAACATGTTGGAAGTTAAAAATAAATACATTGCACATAAGGCAAAGCAAATATTCAAATTCTTTGTATTAAGTTTATCTTTTTTCTTCCTAACATTGGATTAATATCGTACAGTATAAACATGAGAGAAACATTTTGAAATAAACTCTAATGTGAATGTATAGTGCTGTTCACAATAAATATGTTTCCAGTAAAATTACATCTAACAATTCCATTATATATAATAATGTATACATAATATATAAAAATAAAAAAATATTTTTCCTCTCACATTTTCCCCAGACCCCACATTTCTGTATTACACCACAATAATTTTTCTTTTTCAAAAAAGAAAATGTTTATAGTCTTTGTTATCAGAACTGGTAATAATAAACGGTTTGTGCACATCAAGTTCAAAAAAGCCTAAAATGTACTTGATGCAATAACAGCATCTCCTCTCATTCTGCTTTTCTGGCTCACTCCTTTTTCCCCATAAGTATCTTTACCTCATTGTTAAACGTCACCAGTGCCACTCTTCGGTGAGGTGAGGTTTTCTGCAGGGAGGTCAGCACCATCTGAAGAGCTTCTTGGACTCCCTGAATCCAAAAAATGGGAGTATAACTTCAAATATATTGTGCCTGTTTATACAAGCAAAAATAATTGTATTTAAAGTCAAAAGTCACCTCTCACCTGCAGTCGAGAAACATATGTGGGTGATCGTGTGCTGTTACCAGGAGAGATCTGAGAGAAAAATATATTTAATGTGAACAAGTGAGGGTGTTAAAAACAAAATAACAGCTCTGGATGTCTGTAATGAAAGTGATCGGCACCTCAGAAGTGACGCTCATACTTCCGGAAATGTCCACGCACAGGACAATAAGCATGTCGTCTAGATTCTCATAATCTGTGTCCTCATCATCGTCCAAGTAAAGTATATCCCTGCCTGGAGGATTGCGCAAAGGAAACCGGCCGCCCTTCAGTGTAGTCTGGGGGTAAACGTTCTCCTTCCCACAAAACTCACAGCGCCATATCTAGAAAAAAGGGACAGGAAACAACAGTAAGAGTCATATAAACACAGTGGTTTTGCACCTGTTGGTATAACTTACTATAGTTTTCTGTTGTGTCTCTGGGCTGCTTGCTGAGGACATGATGGCATTGCATTTCCCACAACGCACTGGTTTCTGGCTGCTCTGTATAGCAGATGCTAAGGAGATAGTAAGTGAGCTGAACAGATGTAACATTTAGGAAGATCATGCTGTCAAAAAATATTGTTTAGCAGTTTAGCACACCTTTACCAATGTCCACGAGGCTTCCCACTTTTAGCGACACTACATTTACATTAGCTTTAAGTCGAGTCTCTCCATTATTTTCCAGACCTGAGAAAGAGAGTGAAAGGAGGGTGAGGGTGAACTCATTGAACCTGTTTATTGTCAAACATCATAGTATTTTCAGTGTATCGCTTCAGCTTAAGCATAACTAATATTTTCTGTGCTTTTTCATGTTATGAAGGGAGTGTGAATGACTTCTCACCTCTCGGTGGTAATGGTGGTGGGAGTGCGCTACAGAGAGTTTCTCTCCTTTGTATGTTACGGGGCGGTACAGGTGGTGGAGCCATCAATGGAGCTGTAAAAAAAAATGTAATAAATAAAATGAAGTAAATAAATGATAAAAATAATAACATTTTCTTATACAAATTAATTTTTGTTTTTTTAAAGTTTGTCATTAAGATTTTTTTTAAAGAAATGTAACACATTTATTCAGCAAGGATGCATTCAATTAATCAAAAATGACAGTAAAGCCACTTACAATTTTACCAAAGATTTTCCTTCTAAATAAATGCTGTTTTTAACATTGATAATAAAAACTAATTATTATTAAGCACTAAATCAGCATATAAGAATGATTCCTGAAGGATCATGTTACACTAAAGCCTGGGGTAACTGCTGTTGAAAATTCAGCTTTGCATCACAGGAAAAATTTGAGAGTTAGAGTAGCTTTATTGTCATTCCAGCTCTATACAGTTAGCATACAGTGCACTTACAATTTTACCAAAGATTTTCCTTCTAAATAAATGCTGTTTTTAACATTGATAATAAAAACTAATTATTATTAAGCACTAAATCAGCATATAAGAATGATTCCTGAAGGATCATGTTACACTAAAGCCTGGGGTAACTGCTGTTGAAAATTCAGCTTTGCATCACAGGAAAAATTTGAGAGTTAGAGTAGCTTTATTGTCATTCCAGCTCTATACAGTTAGTATACAGTGAAACGAGACAGCGTTTCTCCAGGACCAAGGTGCTACATAGACAAAAAACACAGAGCACAGGACTACAAAGAAACTAAACTGGACATAATTAAATTATATTAAATAGGCTAAGTAAAAAGTTAAATAAGAACTAAGAAGACTATATATATATATATAAAAATAGTACTAAGAGAAAAAAGAGCTGACTATAAAATAAGAACTGTGAACGTTTATCACAGACTACACAGGACTACATAAAGTGCGTGTAAAAAGTGTAATTTACAAATTACGCTAAAATATAAAACAGTTATTTTAAATTATTATAATATTTAATATAATAATATTAATGTTATTTAATATTATTAAAGGGGTCCTATTATGCTTTTTCACTTTTTTAATTTTAGTCGGTGTGTAGTGTGTATGTTTGGGCATAAAAAAGATCTAGAAAGTTACAAATCTCAAAGTCCACTCCAAAGGGAGATA